CTGTCTAGGTGGGGTAGGAGTTTAGCTCCTGGTTCCCCCTTAAATACCAAGTTTTCAGACATGACTTCCCCTCCTAAATTTATGCTTCCCTTCCGTTGCAGAGTGTATTCTCTCCAGGTGATTCGTTATTACCTTTCTGATTGCTTTCTACCTGAATTTACCTGAGGGGTCACAAACACTAGTGGCCTGGACGAGGACAGGAACCGGCGGCTTGTCGAAGGTACCCTATTTGCCTTGAAAACGTATATAGAATTTTGCTAGGAATTCATGTCAGTGACACTGTTAATGCCTCGTGTCTGTAACATGTTTACAATACTGGACTACATTTGCATTCTTTCCAGAGCTCTGGGAGGCCTTCGTTCTCGAGTATTTTAGTTAAAATCTTAGTTAGAGAGGAATTATCCAGCACACTCCGTTGCCATGGTGATGTTAGGATTGATATTGCTGCTTTAGTTAAATACTGCCTTGTCTGAGCTTTGTCACTTGATATCTTGTTGCTTCGTGGTTTTAAAATTGTTGATTTTTTACCCTCCCGGCTCTGCTGTATTCTCTTGTGACTCTCGTTAATGCCTCTGTACTCTGCACTTTCTGTTCCGTTCCTTCCACTCCCCGCAGAGACACAGTGAACCTGTGTTTGCTCTGCTCCTCTCCAGCATTGTTGTCGTCCCCCCATAATTGTATTCTCATTGTCCTCCTCACCCTCTTGTAGGGCCTGAGTCTGTCACCTCTCCTCGGGTGACAGCGCTGAGGTTGATGGTGGTGCTGGTGATGGTGGTCGGAGTTGTGATGATGATGATGATGCCGGTGGTGAAAGTGGTGATGGTGATAATGACGACGGTAATAATAATAGTGGCGGTGATGGACATGTTGGGACAGGTGACAGTAGAGAGAGATACTGACAGTGACGATGGAGGTGCCTGTGATAATGATACTGGTGATGCAACACTCCACCACCCCCCGTCCCCTTGCGTGATATCACTCCGGTATTCGTTGGTTGGTTTTGCGTAAGCCAAGACGCCTGTGCCCTTGGGTCTGGCGTGCCTTCCACACTGGAGGCAGGTCAGCCGTCGTCGGTGCTGGCGCCTCTCTCGCCCTCCTGAGAGTTCCCTCGGGTACTGCTTCTTGGTTATCTCTCTCTCTCTCTCTGGGAGTTACACTCTCTCTGACGTCTTATTATTCCCTGTCATAATTTGCAAGTAATGACAGGTCGGAGGAGGCAATTATTAACTTGTTAGCGAGCAAGATGCGCCCTCTGCCGTGTGTGGGAGGGAGGGGGAGGGGTCGGCCTTGGGCACTGTCATCTGTCATACTCACATGCACACACACACACACACGCGCGCACCCATATATACACATACACACACGCACATCAGCGGCATATGCTAGATTGGCCAAGATAAGAACTGCCTTTAGAGACTTGTGTAAGGAATCATTCCTAACCTTGTATACCACTTACTTCAGACCAATCCAGGAGTGTGCAGCTCCAGCCTGGAGTTCATACCTAGTTAAACACAAGACAAAGTTAGAGAAGATTCACAGCTCTTCTTATCCCTCACTCGTGACACAACATTCACCCCGTCACTCCCACTGAAGACAAGCTTCACTACACTAGTAACGCCCACACAGACAGTGGCGACAAGCTTATCACAAGGCTTTGTGGCTGGATTTATCCCAGAAACGCCTATTAGTAGCAGGGAGATTCGTTTCTAATGTGACTAAACGGTTCACGGGTACTATAAGTATACGTTGAACCTCAAGGAAAGTAGTTGCTTCGTCAGTTGAACGAATACACCCACCACCTCATAAGCCACAGCTCAAATGACTTGCCATGGCCCCCAACAAACGTCATATCCTCGGGTCAACTTTTAGACCAAGCCAGTGAGCTCAAAGCCAGCCTACCCAAGATAAGGTCTCAGTGACACAGGCACCTGTTCCATGTCCTTCCCGCCAAAATATTAGTTCTAGGCCTCGCCACCAGGCTTCCATGCCATCCATGCATCTTGAGGAATCAAAGGGGACGAAATATAAGGGGAGACCAACCGTCCCCTTACCCCATGGCCTAAACTCACACTCCTTACACGTTCAGTAGCTCTAATTTCTCTGTTACCTTCCAGAGTGACCCTTCCCTCCCTGGTCGAATCGATTTTCACTCGATCAGATGAGGCAGGAGAACACAAGGATGATATATTGAAACAGACTAGGGGGGGGGGGGATCCCGCTAACATCCAACACGGATGTAATCGGATCAGGGACACCAAAGTGTAAGAATGAATGAAGCCATCTTCAAGCGTAAACTTGTGAAAATCTACCCTCTTTTAAGGTCATAGATTAAAGCTAAAGAAACAAAGGTGCCGAAAAGATATAAGATAGTTCTTTTTGCAAACAAAGATAAGGAAAGTTTGAACAAGTTAAGTAAGAAGGTGGTGGAGGCCAACACCGTCAGTAGTTTCAAAGCATTATATGACAAAGAGTGCTGGGAAGACGGGACACCACGAGCATAGCTCTCATGCTGTAACTCCGTAACTATACTTAGATAATTACACTACACAAGTCACAGATAAATTAAAGCTAATTGCCCAAATGACCAATTTGGAGGATCTTCTTCAGTAAGATGATAGATAAGAAAGAGAGTGAACAAAGAAGTGGTAGTTGATGCACATGACATCACATATACGTTATAAAAGAAACATGTTTGAAACCCAAAGGTCCAGGGACCAACTGTACACACATAGAACAAAGGTTCTATGTGTACAGTTAGGTACACTTGGTACTGTTGCCAGTACCAAGGAGCTGAAGCTCAACACCCTGCTTCTACACTCCCTTTTAGCATGATCTTCCATGCGCACATACATTTATGCACGTGTTGTAACTGAAGCCATGTAAATGTATCCAGAACCTCAGTACTACTAGCTAGAAAAACGTCCCCGCGAGCAGTATGAAGGATGGACGTCTGACGCCATTACCAGTGTTGAGAGTTTTTGTGTATATATGTTTTTGTGTGTTGTAGCCAGCACGTGTCTTCTTGTACCCCGCCCTAGCCTCGAACTCTTCTTCAGGTCACTCTCGTGTTTGTCAGTATTATGTTGTGTCGAGGTTTTGGTCTAGCGTTGCCTCGGTTGTGTCGATGTTGGGATGAGGTGGTGCAGTCTTACTGTTGTCAGGTAGTTCAGGAAGGTAGTTATCAAGGGAGTTGCCTGAGTGGTTGTAGGCATCCATCAGTCTCAGGAGACTCTGGAGTTGCGCCCTGGAGAGGCCACTCCAGACTGACAATCAGAGCGCAACTCCATAGTCTCCTGAGACTGATGGATGCCTATTGCTACTACTCAGGCAACTACTCCTTTTCTCCTCCTCCTCCTCGGAGGCACTCTTGCCTGATGCGGTATAAGTTTACCTTGGTCTCCTTACAGATGTATCTGGGTCTATTCTATGTTTGAATTTGTTCATCTCCACCTTCTTAGATCTCAAAGTCTGCCTCTGATGTTGTGAATTGACACGTCATGCTGAGTGAGCTCGCCAGGATGGATGTTGGATGGTAGCTTCTTTGCTGAACCAGAGTTAACCATGTTGCTGCTGTAGACCCGTACCACTATGTATACTGATGCCCAAAACAATCTTATATTATAACTTAGGCATGGTCACCTCAGCTGCGAAAAGAATGCTTAGAATGCTTGGCAAAATGCAAGACAGAGCTATGAGTATCCTCGGATGTCTCCATACGAAAGTGATACTTAATATGAAGAATGAACTTAATACACCAAAGTTCATCACTACTAATACTAATGTTTTAAAATGTTAACAGGGGAAAGGTGACCATTGCGTCATATGCTGGAGAAGGTACTTTCACGAGGTGTGAAACGTAGTCTGACCTTTCCAAGACGCCATCTTTAAGTGCGGGTTGACCATCGTGGCGCCAGATGTAAGTGAGCCGATGATAACACTTATTATCACAGATGTGACCCAAGCCTCCAGCAGGCCGTTCCACACCAAGCAAGCATTCGGCACTGTTTCTTGCGGGTTCTCGGTCGTATATATATCCAGCTCAAGACTAAAGCTACAACCTAACCTACCTGTCTTTGGACTAGGCTCGTCCAGAAGGTGGACAACCCAAGGGGGGGAGCCGGTCGGCCGAGCTGAACTTGTGATCCTGGGTTCGATCCGGCGAGAAAGAATGGGCAGAGTTTCTTTCACCCTATGCCCCTGTTACCTAGCAGTAAAATAGGTACCTGGGTGTTAGTCAGCTGTCACGGGCTGCTTCCTGGGGGTGGAGGCCTGGTCGAGGACCGGGCCGCGGGGACACTAAAGCCCTGAAATCATCTCAAGATAACCCCAAAGACGCATTCATAAACCGTACTGTGTATTCAAAAGTCAACCCATCTTCCTGAAATGACAGTACTTAACTAGTTGGTCGAAAGTACCAATAATATAGTGATGAACCCCCAGTAAACCTCTTTTTATACTTTTGAAAGTTATAGTGCTGAAGTGAGGCGAGCAGTGGCTCACCTCCCGTGATCCAGCTACGCCTGAACTCTCTGCTTGCTTCACAAGCCAGTCGCAGGTCCGACAAGTGAGACGATCTTCTGATGACTGTAATTTCAGAAGGGTTAGCAACTAACATTAAGTTCTCCATCTTCAGGGATCAATTTCGGTAGGAGGGATTACTATGTGATAACGCTCATATGCGCGCGCATTCTTGGTGATAAGTTCTAGTTGGACAATTGATCTAGTATGGTAACATTGACTCTGTTTGGATCATTAGATATTCACACTTGATTCACTTGTCCTTAAACATTTTCTTGATTGGTTTACGTGTTATGTCAGTTGTCTAAGACGTAGCACTGTCAGTTATCAAAGAAGTGGCACTGTCAGTTATCCAAGAAATGGCACTGTCAGTTGTCCAAGAAGTAGCACTGTCAGTTGTCCAAGAAGTGGCACTGTCAGTTGTCCAAGACTTCTTCTTGCTTATATTCCTCAGTACCCCTTCAAACCCCATCTTCCCTGACCTTGTCGTGACAGCGTCTGTGGTCTTAATCCTCGCCTTCGTCACCGCCCTCTCCGGAGGTGTTGGTGGTGGTGGCGAGGGCGGCCGGGCCAGGAGGACCCTACTGGTTTAAATTACAGTCACAAGTGGGCGTTCGGGAAGACGGAGGCAGCTGCTGGTGGTGACGACGTCGCTACGCCCACGCTAGCCGACTCTCGCTTGATCCCCCACACTGGCGGCAAAGCCTCTGCTCGAGGACCTACATCATCTGGGGATGCATATGGTTTATGTAAATACCGACAACCGCTCCTTGGTAAATATAGTCGTATTGCCTCGGCGCTTTTGCTATTTTGGTAAATTCCCAGTGATTTTACTTTATTATTTGATTGTAAGCTATTTAATGCTAGCAGTGAGGAAAGGAAGGCTGGAAAAATTAAGGTGTCTTCTACGGTGTTTTCAGTAAGTCTGAGTGTTACCAGGGAAGCCAGCCCTTGCAAGATGGATGCCCAGTTACTGGCTTATATATTCCCTTCTGTACTGCCATCAGGCTGATGAGAAATGACAGCACTTTCCGCCCCTCCCTCTAGCTGTATTGAGTGATCCATCAGTGTGTATGGTTTGTGTGGTGATGTTTTAATTTGTAGATTGTGTCTGTGCTCTTGGGCACTTAATTTAGCAGTATAGCTATACCGTTCAACTGATACAGAGTTGCTTTCGTTATTACATAGAAGGTTTAATTCCATCATAAGATTGCTTTCAAATATGCTATTCTGAATGCTAGGTAAATTTACGCGAGGTATATTCTTTAAACATATTGAGAACTTTGGTGGTTATAGGACAGCCAAGTATAATTCTGAGGACTTCGTTTTGCACTTTTTTTCCAGTCTATCAATACTTTTGCCATTTGGCAGGTCTAAAGCTGGTGCATAATAGTCTATCAGAGACGTTAAATATGCTAAGTGAATCATTTTATGTGTTATTCTAATATTAACACCGTATAGAGGCCCCACTACAGTTATGAGAACCTTGAGTGTGTCTCTACATTGTTGATATAACTTATTGACTACAGTTAAGGTACAAGGACTGAGAAACCCAGATATTTGAAAGAGGAGACAAAGTCTATTGCTATTTTTATCAATGTTTGCTGTCATCCCACGCCCGGCTGTCATCCCACGCCCGGCTGTCATCCCACGCCCGGCTGTCATCCCACGCCCGGCTGTCGCCCCACGCCCGGCTGTCATCCCACGCCCGGCTGTCGCCCCACGCCCGGCTGTCATCCCACGCCCGGCTGTCATCCCACGCCCGGCTGTCATCCCACGCCCGGCTGTCATCCCACGCCCGGCTGTCATCCCACGCCCGGCTGTCGCCCCACGCCCGGCTGTCGCCCCACGCCTGACCAAGAAGCAATACAATAGTTATAAGCGCCGCGGCCTTGATGAATACCGCCTCTCGCCTTCACCACCGGCCATACAAACACGCCCTTCACGCTCTTGTTTTTTCCCTTTGGTAGGATAATTCGCTCCGGTGAGACAAAGCAACAGTTGCGTAAGCCCAGTGAGGCGCAGCTCACGAGGTGCGTGACCTCCTGTGAGCCTTGGCTGAAGAGGTGGCGGAGTGCCACTCACAGCGGGAGGAGTGCCACTCACAGCAGGAGGAGGAACACTTGGGCCAGAGATCATCACTAACACCGTGTGGGGGGGGGGGGGTGTTACCCTTCTGCCTACTCAGTTGTGCTTGCGGGGGTCGAGCTCTGGTCCTTTGGTCCCGCCTCTCGACTGTTAATCAACTGGGGTACGGATTCCTGAGCCTACTGGGCTCTATCATATCTACATTTGAAATTGTCTATGGAGTCAGCCTCCACCACATCACTGCCTAATGTCTTAACATTTCTTAACTACTCTGACACTGAAAAAACAAATCTTTCTAATGTCTCTGCGGTTCATTTGGGTTCCAAGTGTACCCTTGTTCGTGTTCTACCCATGTTAAATCATATTTCTGTCCACGCTGTCAATTCCTCTAGAATTTTGTAGGTGGTGATCATGTCTTCCCTTACTCTTCTGTCTTGCTAGCACGTGAGGATTCCACATTCCATAACATGGCATTTATTCACATTGAACTCCATTTGCCACATGGTGCTGCAAATACTTATATTATCCAGGTCAATTTTAAGGACAAGACAATCGACTACATCTCCTATCATCCCTAATAGCTTAGCATCATCCGCAAACATGTTCATATAATTCTCTACCGCCCTCTGGTAGCTCATTTATGTAGACGATGATCATTACTGGTGTAAGGTTAATGAACCCTGTGGGACTCCGCTAGTAACAGTCCTCTGGTCAACATTACCGCTGATTACCGCTCTCATTTCCCTGTCAGAAAATTTTTCAGCCATGTCAGCAGTCTCCCTGTCACCCCCTCTAGTATGTTCCAGTTTCCAAAACAAACATTGGTGTGGGACACTGTGTGTGTGTGTGTGTGTGTGTGTGTGTGTGTGTGTGTGTGTGTGTGTGTGTGTGTGT